GTTGAATTCTCGATTTATTCGACAGCCAAAGAGTTGTTGAAGCTTTCGTGGTGGTAGTATGAGGCTCTAAAGAATGTAGGCGAATTCGTGATAGTGAAAATACTAACCGATTTTCTCTAGAAATTACAAAAATCGTTGAGTTAGATTTTATTCGACTTAAACCCTTGTACCATTGAAAATGTAATCCTGGAATCTGAAGCGAAAATAATAAATTCTTATTGTGTGGATTTCCACCTCTTTTCCTACTCACTGAACGTGCAATGCAATCACGAATCGATGAAAATTGTAATATTGATTAAGATTGACTCCTAGATTTGACCTTCGCGTTTAAGCTTCTAACGTGCCTCGGGAATTAAATAATAATATTCCTACAATCTATTTGATGTTGGTCCGAGACCGGTTGTCCTGACTGAAGTTTTTCGTGGTTTTCTTCAATTCTTTCAGGCACATTCTGTGATAGTACCGGAAACTAGGCCGCAGTCCTTTCTTTCAACATATTTTACAATTTATTATTTAATACTCGTTCCATCATTCGACGTAACGTACTTTAGATTACAAATATCGTCGTTAAACAAGCTGTAAATACAACATTCGAAGTTAAAGACCGTAATTTCGTGATGATCTGCTGGGGTTTGATACCGTAGGGGCTGAAGATACGACTTTTAAAGTTTCCGCGTGTGTATTCGTCTTTTACAGATCACGCGACACTTTTTTCCCAAGAAATAACCTGCCGCATACGGCCCCCGGAAACATTTTCCCTGGCGCAGGGATTATGAGGTCAACAGCCCCGGGGCCTTGAACAATTATTTTTAAAATTAATCAAGTAAAATAAAACCCGACGTTATTTTTCAATAAGGGCAATGAAATTGCAATTCTTTCTTATGTACCTTCCCAATATTTTTGAATTTATTTCCTTCTGATAAGGAACACATTTAATATTAATTATTCACTCCTTACATTTATGATTCAATGTAACCAAATTACAACAATGGAAGTACAACAATGGAAGAAAAATTATTCGAATTTCTAACCCACACCTGCAACAATCTGGGCTGAGCATGCCGTAAGGCTCTTTTCTCATTTATTACGCTTGCTGTATAATAGCCTGAATGAACCGTATTGCACTCCATTCCTTTACCTAAGAAACTAATTGTTACGTCATCTGTTTACTCGGCATTGTTGCTTTATTATATATTGGCATCAACAATCCGCTTTCGTTATTGCGGAAAGAGCTGAGCTGTGAATCGGTTGTAGAACAAGTGCGTCGTGGAGTAGATAATTTTGTGCTGTTGAAAACCTTTTAGAATATCACAATTAATTATCTTAATATACGAATCATTAAGAAATCTGTGATACTGCCTTCACTCTCTACATTTCATTTTTGATTAAATTGTTCTTTGCCGGTGGCCATACACTGAAACCGGGCGTTATTTTTAAATAAGGGCAATGAAATTGCAATTCTTTCTTATGTACCTTCCCAATATTTTTGAATTTATTTCCTTCTGATAAGGAACACATTTAATATTAATTATTCACTCCTTACATTTATGATTCAATGTAACCAAATTACAACAATGGAAGTACAACAATGGAAGAAAAATTATTCGAATTTCTAACCCACACCTGCAACAATCTGGGCTGAGCATGCCGTAAGGCTCTTTTCTCATTTATTACGCTTGCTGTATAATAGCCTGAATGAACCGTATTGCACTCCATTCCTTTACCTAAGAAACTAATTGTTACGTCATCTGTTTACTCGGCATTGTTGCTTTATTATATATTGGCATCAACAATCCGCTTTCGTTATTGCGGAAAGAGCTGAGCTGTGAATCGGTTGTAGAACAAGTGCGTCGTGGAGTAGATAATTTTGTGCTGTTGAAAACCTTTTAGAATATCACAATTAATTATCTTAATATACGAATCATTAAGAAATCTGTGATACTGCCTTCACTCTCTACATTTCATTTTTGATTAAATTGTTCTTTGCCGGTGGCCATCGTTGTCTCTTACAATTGAACAAAGTTTCAGGTAAGGGATTACTATTTATTATTATTAATGTTCATCACATTTAATGTTTTCATCTGCATTTGTGAACTCGTGTAAGAAAATTAGGCATGTCTTATTTTGACGTAAATACGTCTATACGGAAGGGTCATTTGGAAAACGTGTAAGATCCATATCAACAATGTGTAAATATGGACCGACAACAATGGTTATGTTACCTAAGAAACTAATCATTACGTCATCTGTTTACTCGGCATTGTTGTGTTTCATTATTGCCATAAACAATCCGCTTTCGTTATTGCGGAAAGAGCTGAGCTGTGAATCGGTTGTAGAAAAAGTGCGTCGTAGAGTAGATAATTTTGTGTTGTTAAAAACGATTTAGAAAATCACAATTACTTGTCTTATATAAGAATTATTAAGAAATCTCGGTCATTGCGAGTGGACATCGTGGTCTCTTACAATTGAAGAAAGTTTGAGGTAAGGGATTCCTATTTATTATTAATGTTCATCACATTTAATGTTTTCATCTGAATTTGTGAACTCGTGTAAGAGATTTAGGCTTGTCTTCTTTCTAACTCAGTCTCAAGTAATACTAGAGTGACTTCTGTTTGTTCACGGCATCATTGATAGTAAAAGAATATTTCAGTAGGCAATTAACATTTTAAAAGGAATAAAACGTTTTTAGTGGCCCAGAATCTTAATAAAAATACGTGGATGCTAGGAGTGGGGTATATAGTCTGAACAATAATTCTAACACTTTACATTTCTTGATACATCATTAAAGCGTTTTAGGGAACCCTGAAGAATTTTTATTTCGGTATTACAAGATTAATTATAGACGAATCTCTCTCTTATTATCTCCCTACAACAGCAGATTAAATCGGGGAACTTTTGCTATTATTGAGTGCAAAGTATTTATGGGTGCAAAACTAGGTCTTTCTCTTTGAGGGAGGAACATAGACTGAGCGTCTTTGACAACAGAGTGTTGAGGAAGATGTCTGGACCCAAAATGGGGGTGGGACAGATAATAGAGAAAAGTGCTTGACGAGCTCCTCACACGATGTTGTTAGGGGGCTGGGGTGGGCAGGGGAGGTGTGTTTACAAGGCCTGAAGGGAGGAGACCTCTGGGAAGACCTCGACGTAGGCGGGAGGATAACATTAAGATGGACCTCAGGGAGACGGGACTCGATGTAGCGAACTGGATAGGTATATAGTCTGAACAATAATTCTAACACTTTACATTTCTTGATACATCATTAAAGCGTTTTAGGGAACCCTGAAGAATTTTTATTTCGGTATTACAAGATTAATTATAGACGAATCTCTCTCTTATTATCTCCCTACAACAGCAGATTAAATCGGGGAACTTTTGCTATTATTGAGTGCAAAGTATTTATGGGTGCAAAACTAGGTCTTTCTCTTTGAGGGAGGAACATAGACTGAGCGTCTTTGACAACAGAGTGTTGAGGAAGATGTCTGGACCCAAAATGGGGGTGGGACAGATAATAGAGAAAAGTGCTTGACGAGCTCCTCACACGATGTTGTTAGGGGGCTGGGGTGGGCAGGGGAGGTGTGTTTACAAGGCCTGAAGGGAGGAGACCTCTGGGAAGACCTCGACGTAGGCGGGAGGATAACATTAAGATGGACCTCAGGGAGACGGGACTCGATGTAGCGAACTGGATACCGAGTACCAATCGACTTTCCATAGAATATCTTGCACATTGCAGTGTGTGAGTAGCGTGATTTAGGCCTGATCTACGCATGCGTTAGAACAAATTAGAGCTTTTGTGACTGTTCCCCACTGTAATTCTCGCGTTTGTTTGATAAATTTGAATTACATTTTGTGCTTGTAGTATATATAAATATGTAAGTTAGGCAGGAAAGTCCTTAATCATGTAAGCTCTTAAGCACTTTTAGTTCTACAGAGAGAGAAGTACACGAAAATGTTATGCTTATGAAAAGGTGTAGCCTTATTCTTCCAAAATTTATTTAATTGTCTGGTTCTGCATCAAAGGTCACGCAATTTCAATGGCATATTTTTGTCGTAATTTTTTAAATCGGTTCACCAGAGAAAAAGCATCTAAGACTTTATAGATTACATAGATATTCTATACTTAATGTCTACGTAGTTTACATATAAGAAGATTTAACTTTATGCGAGTAATGACAAACACGCGGCATGACTTAATATTGCCTAAATCAGTCACGTCTTCAGGGTGATGAAGCCAAGAAGAGAGAGATGGGCGGGGCATGTGGAGTGCATGGATGGGACGAGAGGTGTGCACCAGGTACTGGTCGGGAAGCGTGAGGGGAAGAGACCTCTGGGGAGACATAGACGTAGATGGGAGAAAAATCTCAGGCAGGATCTTCGGGAGATAGGAGTTGAAGGAAACTGGATTTTGGTGGCCCAGGACAGGGTCTGGTGGAGGGCTTTGGTTAGTTCGGTGTTGAAACTTCGTGTTCCGTAAGCCGTCTAGGTAGTTAGATTAGTCACGTTTACAGTTTTGGCATTATGTGTTGGATCTCAACAGGCATTCCT